AAGCGGGTGCAGGTGGATGTGAAGATGGCCATCCTCCAAATCATGAAAGAACTCAACAAGCGCGGCAAAGTGCTGGTGAGCGACGCCCAGGTGAGCCGGGGTGGTGATGCGATGCCAGCTCTTCCCGTTTTCACCGTCCTTCTCCCCTGAGGTGACATTGTCCCCCCCCTTCTCTGCAGAGGGTGACGGAGGGACAACAGGAGAAGCTGGAGCGACAGCACTGGGCCATGACCAAATTGCAGCGGCACCAGGAACACATCCTCCGCTTTGCTTCTTGGGCCCTGGAGAGCGACAACAGCACTGCTCTGCTGCTCTCCAAGAAGCTGGTGAGCAGCCGAGGGGTCAAAACCCCCTCACAGACCCCCCGCTAAATCCATCACCTTGGCCAAGGAACCCCCCAAGATAGGTAATTAGGGGCCATTAGTTTAACCGTCACTGTGACTCCACTCTCGGAGCAATGAGGAAGCAGGTGCTGAGGAGCAAAGCCAAACCTTGAGCTGTGCTGCTTCTCGGCCTGGAATCTGGTTTCCTGTTTTGGGGGGACGTGGGTTGAAGCAGGATCAAAAAATGGACTCCTGAGGGGTGGTTTGCCCCCAGCTCCCCCTCAGCCTCACCAGAGTGCCCCATGTCCCCTGCTACCTCCCCGTTTGTGTCCTCAAGGTGCTGCAGCGGGGTCCCTGGGACATGTTGGGTCTTCTGGGGGTCCCTGTGCTGTAATGGGACCCCCCCAGCCAGGGGCTTATCCACAGAAGGTCCCCTCAGAGTCCCTGTGATGTGACGAGTGCCACATCATGTCCCTTTGGGGTCCCGCAGTGGGTCCCATCGCAGTCCCCGTGGTGTTATGGGTGCTGCAGAGGGTCCCCTCAGGCTCCCTGTAACACGGTGGGTGCCCCAGGGTTCTGTCATGTGTCCCCTCAGGGTCACCACGATGTGACGGGTGCCCTCAGGGTGCTGCTGCATGTCTCCTTGGGGTCCCTATGGTGTGATGAGTGCCCCTGTGGTGCTGAAATGTGTCCCCTTGGGGCTCCTGTGTTGTGACAACTGCCCCTGGGACACTGCCACGTGTCCCCTCAGGGTCCCTGCGATGTGACAAGTGTCCCTGGGGTGCTACCACATGTCCCCTGATGGTTCCCATGATATGATGGGTGTCTCTGGGGCGCTGCCATGTGTTCCTTTGGGGTCCCTGTGATGTGACAGGCGTCTCTGGGATGCTGCCACATGACCCCTTGGGCCCCCCATGTTGTGACAGCCACCCCCAGGATGTTGTCACATGCA